GTTTGCTTGTGTTTCCGTTTCTTTTCTTCGAATTTTGGGTACATCAGTTGGATCTATTTTCATTACATAGCTTTCTTGACTTACCCTTATTGAAAAGTCTGGCATTTGCTCCATGTCTAGTCCGGTGAATCGAAACTTTCCATATTCTCGACTTCCGAAAGGCAAGTGCTTTTGCAGTCTTTCCAAAGCTTCATCGAAGAACTTTGTTCCACCTCCTATTCCGTCATCTACATGTGTTCCAAGTATTCCTTCCAGTATCTTGGGGTTGGTGGGATTTCTCAACAAGAATAGACAACCATCCATAGGATGTGCTTCAAACCCTTGTTCTTCCAATCGTCGACGGAATTCCTTGTAGAACAAAAGTGGGGCATCAACCCTTCCGTATGCGTTTCCTTGCAGTAAACAAATCTCTTCGGATTTTAACTGCATGAGTTCTATTAGTTCTCTTACGGGGGTCTTTGCTAACTGTCTTTCATCACTTCGTCCTCGCAGAAAGGCAGTTGTGATATCGAACGATTGCAATCGCCCATGTCGACTGGCAATTGTCTGCAGTGCTGCCATTCGTCCATCTCTGGATAATGTTGGACTTTCAGTTGATACTGTAGCAACTTCTGGATCTTCAAATCCTCTTACTACGATACGAGCTTTGGGTTTTCGCCCGTCAGCTGCATTTGGATCTGTCTTCCAGGTTAAGATCCATCTGGACGACGTAATCCGGCTTGGATGGATTCTGTTCTTCAAGATCGGCAATACAGCACTTGTTTCAAGCCAACAGTTCATATCTTTGCGTTTTGCTTGATCAAATCTTTGTTTTTCTTCTTTGGTCAATTGGCTATACTGCACTTCGGTGTGTGTCTTCTTGGCTGCTTTTGCGATTTCGGTTGCATACAGGCATGGATTCATGAGAAATCTAGTCAATTGCTGTTTGGGTACATCGAACTCAATCTTGCGCAAATCAGCCTTAGTGTCTTCGTGATTTTCCCTTTTACTCCACAGAGTACCCTCATCCAAGACACTTTCTGTACCGGCTATGTTGGTTTCTGTAATGTATGTATGCATTATACACCATTAACGAATCCCCTTCTTGATCATTTTCTGGATTATGTATTCCCCCATAATCTGACCCTGTTGGCACTTCTGCTGCCGTGTCTTCTGCACCTGGATTGGTCTGTTCCGCATTTTCTGCAGAGATCCCTGACCTGTGCTGCAAATCGGCATTAGAGTCTCTTCGATGTGGCTCTTCTTCAGGTTGTGCTTCTCGCTCAGCATTCGGGGTTTGTTCTTCCGTTCGGGGTTCACTGAGATCAACGTATTGAAACATTCCACTCCTTTGTTTCAAGCTTTCTTTTAGTTTTTGAGCCATTTCTTGAAGTCGACTCTCATTGGCAGTTTGATTGAACTGGCTTCGGGATTGGAATTCCCTCAAGGACACTGGTCGCATGTTTTCTCTGGCAACTCTAAGGAGGCGATTCATTTGTGTAACCCAGATGATCGTTCGACCCTCATACATAATTACCTGGCAAGGTCCTACCCATCTCCCTTTTTCAATCATATTAGGTGACTTCCTCTTATCCCAAATCACGCATAGTTCTCCTATTTGCCAGTCATGCTCATGTCCTCGGGATTGTCGAAGCATTGCTCTACGAATTGTTGGCTTGAGCTGGTTCCTGACTTCGACGAGGGCATTCTGCCTTCCAATGCCCTTCTTCTCCACATAGTTTGCAGTGTGTCCTTGATTCCTTGATATACGATCCATGAGTTCTTTTTTACCTCGACCCTTTCGGAATCCCTTTCCTCCGAATCCCAGACCAGACCTTTTTCAGACTTGCTTCCACCCTGCACCGGCCAGAATCCCCTGCTCCGATGTTTCTCTCGAATTCTCCCACGGGCCTCGTGATAGGAGATGAGAGCATGGTTGTAGGTCAGGGTTTCCTGAAACATGCGTCAGCATCCCCCATAGCCAACAACTGATCCATTGCTTCTGTTGTAATGTCATCATCTTCTGTCTTCGGAATATGCCATGTATGCATGGCCGGATTCCGGTTGAAACTCTGTTGCATTGTTTGCACCCTCCTCGGGCTCGATGTAGTTTGTTGGATAAACTTTCTTCTTTTCTCCAATGCCCGCTCCTAGCAAAACATTGGTTGAGAGGCTCCTCATGGCGTTCTCCACTGCACCCACTTCCAGAACACCTGAGGTCATTGTCAATATTTTCTTTTGTCATCACTGCTCAATGAGCTCTGTTTCAACAATACGAGGCCTTGACCGACTTGATTGTTGTATTTGGTCCAAGTTCTTCGAACGCCGCCTGTAGTCTATTCACAAATGATTGTGCAGACTCGTCGCTTTTCTGGGTTGTCCTGTAGATGGCACGATCGAAGAGTTCGAACGTTTTCAACTCTGCCAGTTCCTCCCATGTCGAAAGGGCGGAAGGCAGACGTGTTATCCCGTGTTCGGGATCTGTCAGGAGCTCTGGCTTGATGGCTCGCGCTTGATGCCATGCTGTTCCTCTGCATTGCAATGCTAACCTTGGTGCAGCATTCCTCGATTTTCCTTGGGGCATATCCCAGCCAAAAACTTCACCCTGGAGACATACTCTTTCACGTCATCGGTCGCTGGATCAAAGGTGGGCAACAATGTCCAAAAACCAGACCCTTTCGTATCTCCACTTGAAGATTCAGCCATGGCTTTCCGTGAGATCCTACTCTACGGGCCCCTTCCGGCTCCGCTACCAATGTGACTGCTATGCAGTCCCACTGGTAACGAATCCTTCCAGGGATCTTCCAATCCTAGCTACCTAGTCAAAGCCCTTCCTGCTAGGCGGCCACGCCTTTTCCATTTGCCTGCCTGCCGGTGCCTTGAGCCATCGTCATTGCGATGGGACACATTCGAAGGAACCCTGCCTTCCGACTCCGCTGGATTCACAATAATATATATATATAGACGATTATGATTACACATGCATATCTGTAATTATGTTTTCGCATAGTTTATACATATACCTAGAACGCGAGACTCTCTTCTTGGGCAAAGAGGAGGATTGTCGAGAGGAGCGTCCGGTTCCGGTTCCAAGGAGTCCGCCGGTTCCGGTCGCCGTCGGCTCGACCGCTTCGACCTGCTCGACCGCTGTCCCGGGCGCCGTGAACGACCGGAACGCGTTTCTGTTCACCGTTCCACCGTTCGAAGAAGCCCGAGCTAGTTGATGGGAAGTCACCGACGTTTTCCGAGGTCTTCCGGTGGGGTTGTGGCCAAAGTAGTTCAGAAATACCAAACACGGATGGGAGCCTGTTTTGTTTGACACATGTTTTGCATCTTTCTTTGTTTCTTGTTTGCTGGAATTTTTGACCCAGTCTCATACTGGTCAGGAGATGTATGCCAGTGAAAGCACTGGCGAATTCATCTCTGAGCCTCCTGGCTCTGGCTTAATGTTCATGAACGAGGCCGAGAACGACCGGTCCCGTGACCGGGTCTGACCGGGTCCGCTGAGCCAGGTTGGGGAGACGACGATGCTCGACTGCAGCGATCCCAACACGATGCTTCTCCAGATGGGCGCGTTTGCGCAGATTTATACAGGCACTGAAGAACTGTATACGACTCGTACGACCATTGGTGCGCGGTTTGTGCCCCATGTGTTGATTTTTTGCTCGATGACGATTAGATGACTTGCCAGGGGGCAAGCTAAAGGCCTGCCGCCATGCTGCCGCTCAGAATTGAAATTGATGGGAGTTGGATGGAGTCGGACACTGCTGCTTTAGATAGGATAGGAATAGGAAGACATGCAGAGACATGCAGAATAGATTGGACAGTCTTTAAAGGGAACAACTCGACGAGATTGATCATGTGGAGATCTTCATGTCATTTTTGGGTGCCTGTCGCCCTGTCTTTGCTGAACACTTTTCAAAGCTGGCCCATTTCAGGTGCTAAATCCAGTGAAGCCGGGTGTGGCACGCTTTAATTATTGCAACTTTTGGTACGTGCCGTGGGACACCCTTTGCACAGCTCCAGAAGGTGTGGGACACGCCGTGCCGCATTGAATGTCGAATTCTGTGCCGCGAGGACTTCAGGTTGAACGGTTTATCATGACTTCTCAAGGGTATTTTTGTTGAGTACTTCCCAGCATATCCTAGCATTCCAATCAATATTTGCATGCATACTCGTAGGTTGGAGGCCATCGCTAGTAGGTTGGCTCCAAACATATGCTTGTCTGACAGACACAAACCGACTCGAGGGACTGTTGAAGGAGAGGATGTGGTTGAAGGATGTGTGGCCATGTGGTGGAGTCAACTAGGGTGGAGTGATGCCTTCCATGGATTGGGGCCAGTGGGCAAAGGTGTTCACATATGTTCACACATCCAAATTGCACTTGAAGCCGCCCGAAAGTTTTGACCGAGGAAGGAAAGGCCTTCTTGAAGTTATATGGATGCAGAGTTCTTGATCCAAATTCGTGCAACATGTCACCCAGCTTCGTTGGGAGAGGAAATGACATGTGCACCTTTCCCGATGTCGGAAATTCCCGTATCCAGTAGTTTGTAGTGGGGTGCACACACGCATACACTCACACATACTGTGCACATCTATGCACTGTCATGGGCTCGGCAGCTCTTGCATGGAGTGTGGGAACTCGAGAGGCATGGAGGCCACGGCGGTGAACCAGGGGTGGAATGCGATGATGGACGAGAGCTACTTGAACATCACCATGAAGCATCTCGCCCCAAACTCCAAAACGATTCGAATCGTGTGACGTTGGACTGACTGCTTCTCAGACGAAAGCACGGCTTCGGACGTCGATGGACGACCAATGGAGCTGGCGTCCAAGGCAAAGCTTCACAGCCTTCCGGCAGCGCCTCGACTTTGGTGCATGAGTTGTCAGTAGGATGGCTGCGGCTGCTGATCTCGTTGTGAAGCAGTTAGATGCAATTAGATGCAATTAGAATCAGCTATATATAGATGCATATAATTGCATATACAATATCTGATATATGTATAATATATTATAATATACATCAGTATACGTACATATATATATATAACTATATAGCATTATATAACTAAATATGTTTAAGTTTCTTTATTTGAACGCAGAACCAACATCACGTTTTTCCATTTTGTCCCTCCGTTGGTCGGTCGTGTCGGTTTGTGTTGTGTTGGTTCTGCTTTTGCGCGTTTCGCGAGGTTCATGGTCTCGCCGGAGGCGCGTGTGCAATTCTCCGACTCGCAGCGCTTCAAGGAACTCTCAGCCATCCTTCCCATCGTACGAAAGCAAGGAGCGGGAGCCTTCTGCAGGTTCATTTGGGTTTGGGTGTTAAAGGATAAAATCGCATGAAAGAGCCAGTAGTTCCAAATTCCTGCTCGTGCCACACTTGGAGGGTAAGGGGTGCCCATGATCCGCTCGCTGGATGAGACCAAAAGCCACCCCTTTGTGACATTTTGTGACTGGATCATCGATCTCTTTCAGAAAGAACAAAGCTCGGAGCTCGAAGCTCGGAGCTCGAAGCTGCTTCTTCCTGCTCGGCGCAGGAGATGCTGGAGCACCCACGATGCCCAACATCCAAGTGGACTTGCTGACGGATGTTCGCTGCCCTTTCTCTTTCATCAGCCAAATGAATCTCCAAAATGCCATTCAGAATTTGGGGCTGCCGCTCAGCTGACCTCTCATGAAATCATGAGCTGTCAAATGGTCGTGTAATAATCCGTTCGAGTGTTCTGAGTCAGGATGAGCAAGACCATGTGAACATCCGAGGCAAGACAATGTTGTGGTCCGCTACCACCCAGTTTTCCTGAACCCAAATGTGCCAAAGGCCCGGTTTTCGTTCAGATTCCTCACTCGGCACAAAGGAATAGAGTGCCAGGCGCCAAGCGCTTTCAACCAAGAGTGCCGGGCTCTTGGTTGGTTTGTGGTCAATGTTTGTCAGGAAGGCGAGAGCCTGGATGACTATCTTTGGCGAGAGTTTGGATACACGAAGGACGCTCAATGCATTGCAATCCGGGGTGGGAAGACCTTGGAAGAGCAAATTTGTCCACCTTTTTTCTTCTTAACCTACTGCATTTTTTTTATCCAGTGATCCCAGAGTGTCTCTCGCTTGTTTTCCATGAATTCTGACCCCCTTTGGACGATCTCTTGAGGAATATGCCCATTCCGAAGATTATCCGCTGCGCCGCTATGGCCGCGAAGCAGGTGTTGAAGCTTGGAGGCGGTTTGTTCCGCGTTTCCTGGACAGGAGTTCCACGGGAGTTCCGTTGCTGCGTGGAGTTTGGCAAAGCCAAGGAGATGAATCCCCACCGGCGCGTGGTCAACACCTTTGACGCCTTTTGCCTCATCGAAGCAGCGCAGGAAGAAACACACGTGACCCGTGGTGTGTGACGGAGGAAAAAGAGGTCTTGTGTGTTGGCATGGATCTTTGTGGAATTATTCCTAGAGTCCCAGGAGGAAGGAGTGCAGCACGAACTGGTGCAGACCCTTTCACGCTGGTACTTCGAAGAGGCTAAGGAGCGCGCTCCGGCGGCTAGGGGCGGGCTGGTGTTGTCTTCCGCTCGAACAAGCCCAAACCACCTGAGACTTTCGTGCTTTGCAAGAAGACAGGCCCAGAAAGGCGTATGGATGAAGACAGGCATCCGACGAAGTATGACAGTTCCAGCGGCTTCATGTTGCGAGCGATCATCCCTGAAACAATTGAGCTGAAAATGAGGGGAGTGGTCCCAGGTAAAGTATAGCCTTGATTTAACCATTTCTGATCAGTCTCATCCAACCAAAACCCCGGATCTGTTGCAGCGGAGGACATCTCGGACGTGGCCGTGCTGCGCGCGGCGGCTCTGCACGTGGGCCTCGACGCCGAGCGTGCCCTGCAGCGGAGCAGCGAGTTGCAGGGGACGGTGCAAGAGCGCTATGAGGAGCGGCACCAGCGGCCACCGAATAAGCACATGGAAGAGAAATGAAAGAGAATCACAAGAAGAGTTGTGTTATGTTCTGGAGAGTTTTGAGTCCGGGTGTTTGATAATTGTTTGGTATTCATATGTTGCTTGCTGTGCGTCTTTTCGGCTTTTCCGCCCTGGATTGCTTGAACATAGAAATGACTTTTGCAGTGTGTGCCTTATGCTTGTGCGGTTCCCATGGTGCTTCTGAACATCACGCCCTTTTTATGAGATACTGATGGATTCCTGGATGTAAATTGAGTATATATATATATACATATCAATGGATGTAAGTTTGACAGGTCAGGAAGGGCCCAACTTTGTGAGATTCGAAAGCTCGTGATACGATCTTGTATTTAGGTGTTTTGACATAGGGAGAAGCCCCCAGTAAAGGAAAGCTCGACCAAAAACCCGAGTCGTTCTGCTTTTGGTCTCCCTACACCAAAGGCAAAAACATACCGGTGGGGCGCAGACCACCACCCTGAGGAGTTCTCAGCGATGCTCGGAGAAGTGCCGCACTTCTTGTTGCGAGAGCAGGCGAGAGCGCTCGGTGAGCAACGGGTTGGACGGTCCAACTGGTTGGTGTCGAGCAGTCTCCCGTCTTTGGCATTTTCTTTCGGCCTGCCCGCACTTGCCTGTAATAGTCAGTGAACAAGGATCACTATTTTGGAGAAGGCCTGCAACTGAACCATGATCCACTGTTACTGGTTATAGACATATATAGACCATATATAGACCATATACTGTAGTATGGAGTAGTTCGTGGCCAGGCCTCTGGAAACGGCTTGGAGCTCGGCGGCCTCCGGTCGGTGGAGGCTTGGGAGCAGGCCTGGTTCGACGTCCCAAGTGGTTTCCCGGCGTTTTTTTGGGGTGTGAGACGCCGAACACCGGTTGTTTGGAACATCTTTGGTGACCAATGGCGCCCCTGAAAATAACTCTGCTAGCCAATACTGGAAGGGCGGAAGTTGAAGGCTTGAAGTTCAACATCCTTTGCTCGCACTAACCGAACTGAACTGCTTGTCGCATTTCTGGACTCTAGAAGATAGTGGAACTGACTGGAAAACACCACGCAGAACGACCTTGGATGCTTTCTGCATTGCTCAAAGCTACTGCTGTAGAAGTACCAACTACAAATGCACCTGCTTTTGAACCGGAATGCTTTCTTCAGTTCTCCATGCAAGTTGGACTCAACCACACTCTTTTACTTCGAACAAATTGCTGGCATGCTTTCTTTGCTACCCCGCTTGTATGCTTTCTATTTGAGCTACGGTGAAAGCATGCGAAGACCACTTTAGTAAAGAGGGGTAGGTTTGTGCACAAAACCATGTAAAACGACAAAAGGTCCACCTCAAAACCGATAACCCCAGCGTTGTATATGATCAGAGGCATGCGGCGAACTCAAAACACTGTAAAACAATGTAAAACGATAAGGTCCAATTCAAAACCGAGAACACCCTTTTTTGTAGCAAAAGAAGTTTTGACCATCCCTCATTTGTATACTATAGTGAAGGATTTTGGTTTTGGACGTATCCACCAACTACTACAAATGCAACATTATACAACAGCTGTTTTTCAACCACCCAAACATTTTTCATTTGCACCAATTTTGCTTAGAAGACAAAGGGGATAGGTCTGGGACGTGACGTAGCAGCTACCCCAGACACTCATGCCTTGCCCGAACAACTAGAAGGGCTCAGGTCTTGCAGTTCGCTACCACAGCAAATGCCAATGCGAATGTCTTTATTGTAGACAGCGGAAAGGTTTTAGTTGTAGGGCCCCTCTGCTATTTGAAGGTAAAAATTCAGCTCTTAGCCTTGACTTATTTACTAGGAACTACTACACAGAGAAGCGCCTCCCTCAGTACGTTTGGACCTTACACTGAAGTCAAAGTGCTTTCAAGCACGAGTGCTTCTTTCGTACGCCGTTTGACTGAACACTTGCTAGCAAATTATTCTATGTGCACTTTGCTGCCCCAAGCTCTTCCTGGCTGTTTGCAAGGATACAAAGACGTGGCTAGGTCTATGAACTTAATGGCTCTTGACCACTAAACAATACTAGAAACACGTGACTGTCATGAAGGTTTTTGGAATCTACCCCATTTTACCCCGGTGCTACAACGTGCCGAGAAAGAAAATACGTGTTGTTTTTGCGGGTGAAGGCTTGGAATCGGAAAAACTCCACACATTGACATGTTTTGTCGACTGGTGTTTTGCCCACCGCTGGGCTGACGTGTGCCGAAGAAGCTTGAGACTCATTTGTTCCAACTGCTTTGACCACGAAGAGGACCATGATGGTGTTTCTTCCACTGCAATCAGCTTTAGACTTTCCGTAGCAACAACGAGCTTCATCGAAGGATCGTTGAAAGGATCGTTTCTGCCGGAAGCTTCCGCGATGGACCAACGATCGGGCACCAGTCGATGGCATGCAGGTCTTGCAGCAGGTCATGGAGCGAGGTCAATTTATGGGAATGACCATCGATGGCCCCCACGGCCAGAAGGTGCCAAACTCACCGTGTCGCCAGTCACCGAGTTTTTCTTTTTTTGAGATGATCGAATCGCAGAAATCGCAGAAATTCTCATCGCCAGGTGCGTGGAAGCTGAACAAAAAGCAATAGTGTTTGTGTCACTGCGTCTTTCTCGAAGTTGCATCGGATCGGTTGAGAAACCGACGTTGTACGACACCTCGACACCTCGATGCCCAGGTGCGAGTGGACCGGGCCAACCCTTTCACTCCGGTGAGCCATGCCTTGCCAGCGCAGCATGGCTGGACGCCCACGGCTTGGCCATATCAGGAGACGTCTTCCGCGGTCTATGTAAAGGGTTTCTGGTGTTGAACGACCAGAAAAGGACGAGTGTGTTTCGCACTCTTTGATCTATATTTGGGGATGAGGTAGGAGGTAGGGATTTCTAGTGACGCCTAGAGGCCGCACCAGCCGAATCCCAACCGATCCACCAGCTGAGTCAACCGATCCGCGATTCAGGAGGAGGATTTCTCGCGGATGGATGAGCGTGGGGGGCCCCACGGAGGATGCCTTTGTTTTGCTTTGGAGCCTCCAATGTCAATGTCTTTACATGTGCTTGGCTCATCTCTCCTTTGAGCATGCCTCTCCCACTCTCCTCCCTCCCTCCGTCCCTCCCTCCCTTCCTCTCTAAGGCATCTACACGAACAACGGAAAGAAAAGGAAAGAGACCAAAGGAACGGCATGACATCGAGTAACCACTCATCCGAAAGAAAAACCCAAGAAAAGTCCCCAACAGTTGGGCATCAAAATCCGCCTACTACGGGACAATGGCACCATCGCAAGTTCACCAACAAGTGTCGTATCTTTGCCAGACAACGGTGTTTTCAAGTCTTCAACCTTTTCAATGTGCCACGCGAGCACACCAAGACGGCAAGTCGTAGGAATAGCACATATCATGTGACTCATGTGCCCACATATGGAAGCACGACAACGCCACTACAGTCACTACAAGCAAGAATAAGCAAACTTGCTCCGGAACCTGTTCTGGGTCTGCCAGCAAGTCATGTCAGCATGTTAGCGCCACCCATGCCAGCACGCCAGCACGACAACATGTCAGCACGCGATGCGGCACAAGCATATTTCAGCGTATCGGTGTGGCAACACCTCAGCACGTCAGAGAGACGCAGCTTATCTGCAAAGTGCTTCGAAAATTGCACCGGAACCTGCCCGCGGCACCTGCTCCCCACCTTGCTCGGGAACCTGCTTCGGAATTTGCTCCGATCTGCTCCGAAGTCGATAGTAGGGCTGAATCCCCTAGGCTGCGTTGCTGGGGAATAGCCAATGGAATCAAGAAAGGAAGGGACCCTTGTTTATAATGTTTTTCACAACCATCCTTTTAGCCATCAAAACAGGGGTCGGGGGCCGAAGATGTAAGCGACTTGTTTGGGCACGCCCCCACACCCCCAAAAAAGACAACCGCCCCCACATATTTGTGGGGCACGGCCATGCGTGGAAGCTTTATGGTCAGTTGTTTCGGGTATGTATTTGAGTTTTTTTCTTTCTAGGTGCATACCACTTTTAAGAGGTTTCCGAAAATGTAACTTATGTGTCGGAGGTTCGTTTTTCTTCATTCCTATCTGTGTTCTTTCTTTTTCTTCAGACATTTCTTTCTCACTTCCGTTTCCTGTGTTTCCTTTTGTTTCCTTTAGAGTAGAACTTGTCTTGCTTTTTTTTTTTTCTCAATATCTTGTTTTTCTTCCCTTCTTCCTAGTTGCCAAAATTTGGCCGCAGGGGTCATGCAAGGTATTGACACGTATTGATAGCTTTTCCAATAGTGGAAAACGATGGAACATTTAAATTGGTTGGAATGTCTGGAACGCAGGTTGTGTTTCTTTGTTACATTTCATTAGCCAAAATGCCCTGTCAGGGTGCCATCCCAGTCCATGTCCATTTTAGCTTCTGACCACTAGGGTCAAGACTCAGACAAGAAACAAAACCAACAAGCAAAAGTCCCTGCTGCGCCTGCATTTTCCATTGGCTTTTGCTTTGATGTTTAGAGACACTGTAACTTAGCCAAAACTGCTAGAACGTCCCCGCAGACGTGCAATTGTAACAGTACATTTTTGACGTCGAAAAACCATAATGTAATATACTACATTTTCCACCCTCAGGAACTAGGAAATAGTTACAATTGTGGTCCTCCCCCATGACTACGCCGCACCCATCTCTTTTCCCATCATCCATGGCATGTTTCACTTCTCTCCCACCCACCGAACCTGTTTGGTGGACGATTCAAGGCCCAGACGATTTGATGTACTCCGAACCCCGCTTGGCGGAGCACCTGGACTTGAGCTCCTTGCAAACGCTCACGGAGACCTATGAGGCCATCTTCCAGGCGCAGCGCGAAGCGCTTGCGGGGCCGGTTGCACCGGGGCCGAACCGAAGGAACGCGGTCCAGGGCGGTCTCCGCCCCGGGCGGTGGGTTCCGGTGATGGGGCGACCGGCCGAGCTGGGCCGCATTTGTCACACAAGTTTGCGAGCTGGGCTATGAACTGACAGTGTGTGTTCTTTTTCATCTTGAAGACAGGTAGTTTGCAAATTTTTGCAATTGGTAGGACCATGTGGGGGAGAGCACCAAATCATGAGTAATGCCTTTTCGTCCAAACTTTTCTGTTTTGTATTGTTTTGTGATTTAGTGATTCAGACGGGCCTTGAAGAGGAAAACAATAAAGCAAAACATCAACATGTCGCGAAGTCATCAGGAAAGAAAAATCAGAAGAGACAATTATGGGGTTTGAACGCAGAGTTGAGGAAACATTCAGGAGAAGACTGGAAGACTTACTGTACATACATGAGGAGCTCTTTGCTACTCGCTCAGACGAGCTTTGCTACTCTCTCAAACTGGGGCTTAAGTCGCGCATATCATATTCGCTTTTCTATCGTGTATTCTTGAGTATTCATTCATTCTCTCTCTCTCTCTCTCTGTTTGTTTTTGCTTTGATTTTTTCATTTGACCTCCAGCATTTCTGTAGAACACATCCGAATACTGGCTTGCAGGCTTGCCCCGATGGCTTCAGCGTGCTAGACTTGCTCCAACCTCAGCCAGCTCGACTTGTCTATCTTGTCTCAAGTGCAGAGGTAAGGAATGTCTCAAGAGGTAAGAAGGCTATCCGATCCCAGAAAACGGCTATGGCTCAAAATATCAACCGGCCATTGTTTTCAGGTATTTTTCTAGTTTTTTCGGGTAAGCAATGCATCAAACGGCTATGGCTCCCCAGGACCCAGAGACCCAGGTCTGGCGCCGGGTTTCCGGTCGCCCGAGGTGTTCCAGCTGGAACTCGCACTACCCGAACATGGACCGCGCCTCGAAGGTGCCCCAATTCCGCTGCGATGAATCGATGGTTCTTGCTGCGAGTACTGAGTTGCATTACGGATGTATACTCTAATTATAAACACTAAATAGCCATAGAAGACCCGCGACGTTTAGGCTCGTTTGGGGACAATCTGGAGTTTCAGAGCTTTCTTCACTTCGATGGGTGGACGGTGGCAAAAACAGGAAGAGTTCGATATGGCGTTTCACCCACCGGGTTTCTTCAGCTTCGGTTAGCTTCGAGTGAAGCGAGGTGGCCGTGCACGGTCTCAATGCCGTGGAGCTCGAGATGAACGAGGTGGCCACCGAGCGCCACATTCAGGAGTGCGGACACGTGCAGAATCGAGATTCGGACACGCGCCGGATGAAAGGAAGGGAACGTGGACGGGGTTTTCGGAAAAGGTATCCGTGGGTGGTGAGTGGAGCAAATGGTTCTTGGAATTTCGAAGCTTTCAGAAGAGCAACAGGTTGTCAGATCCGAGGCAAAGAAGGACTGCCAAAGTTCAAACAAATTGCACGTGTACAATGAGAGGACTTGAACCTCGACCAGAAGTTGCCGTGGGCTGACAACTCCTTCGATGTTGCCACCCTGGCACTAAGCGCGTCTCGGCAAAATCTGTATAGAGAAGACGTTCGCATGCAGAGAAGACTAACTCGCGCGCTACTTGCATGATGTCCTTCTTAAATTGGCCGTTTATCCTTCAACTAAAGCTACACAAACGCTACTTACGCTTCGCGGTGGAGCGCTACGTGCATTGCTACGTGCATTGCTTCCGGTGGAGCGAGCGCCGGTTCCCAGCCGCCGAGCCCGCTGAGATCCAGTACCTCACGAAGCCCCGGGAGGTTTTCGCGGAGTTGCAGCGAGTTTTAAAGCCTGGGGGCATGGCCGTCGTCGCCTTTTCCCATCGCTCCTTCATCGAAAAGGCCCGGTTTCAAGGAAGGGTTCATGCGATATAATGCGATGGTTGGACCGTGTCCATCCCGTGTTGCGGTGGCATCGGACTTCTTTGGAGGAACGGAGGAACTCGCGGAATTGAGACGGTTCGAGATTCTAAGGCCGTCAGAATTTGTGAATCATCGGAAGAGTGACCATGGTCGACCATCTCAACCGTCATTTCCACTAGTGGATGTGCATCTCAACCGATGCAGGCAGTGCGCCTGTGGGCCTCAGAGCCCGATGATGGTGAAGGCCATGCCCACGTGGTGTGTCGGTACTTCCAGCATGGGCCAGAGAATGGCTGGGAGAAGATCAAGACCATGGTGCCTTGGCTGAAGCATGCTGAAACATGCTGCAGCATGCTGAAGCTCAAGCAAGCTAAAGGGAAACTGAACTGAAAGGAAAGCTGACAGGAAACTGGAAGGACACTTTTGTGAGTTTTGCGAATCAAGAACAAGACATCCTACATTTGGAATCGTCTTGGTATTCTTCTTGACCATCGGTCACTGGTCAATATCCATGATTGGCAATCCTTTCGCATCCTCCATTCAGTTTACACATTTCGTGAACTTCAAGAGCCCAAACATAATCTTGCACTTTATCCTCCAAAAGCGACCTACAAGTTTCTGGACATCTGGGAACACAACAGTGCGGAACATGTTTCAGTGGACATGGCTTTTGCATGTAAGGGAAAGTGAGATGCAAACGGAACATCGACTTCGAAGAACTAACACACAAAGGCAAGACCTTGAAGGAAGATGACTACAGAACAAAAAGGCTTGTCAAGGCTTGTCCAGGTTTCTTTCGACTTCTACCCAACTTCGTTTTGGAGCGGCTTTGTTCCAAAGGGCATCTAAACTATTCGTTTTGGTTCTATCATTTCTTGACTAGAACCAAGACCAGGATGTCAGTCCTCGGCATGGCGACCCCGTCTGGATTGTGACGGCAGTGAAGCCGATGTGACGGCAGTGAAGCCGATATTTTTTGGTACAAAATTTGGTCACAGCAATTTTGTAGTGTTGCTTTATTGACATTGGCCGCAGGTGTCAAAAAGAGTCGCCCCGACTCATGTTCCGTCGTCACTGAGGAGAAGCTCAGAGTCTATCGGGGTCAACGTGTTTTTTTTCTTTTTTAAAGGTGCACCGAATTCTTCTGCTACCGAAAGTGGGAGGTGCTTTGTTGACGTTATTGATGTTGAATTCTGTTGAATCGGTCGAATACCATTTTGGCTCAAGCCGGTGTTTGAGCCTCAAGTACTGTATGGAGATTATAGCAGCAGTGACTGGCACAACAGTCGCTCGACTGGATGAGGATGAATGGCATCAGATGGTGGAATCTGGGCAAACAGTGCGTGACCTGAAGCAGGTGCTTTCAGTTCACTTTGGATGCCCACGGTTTCGACAAAGACTCTTGGGTGGCGCTGTAGGCGAACTACAAGACAACCTCCCATTGTGAGCGTTCTTGCAACAAAGCAATTGCAGATGGTAATGCTAAATTTTGGAATATAATCCTGATAAGGTTCTTATCCGAGAGCTGGTCGACGCATGTGGGGCCAACAGACTGGATGAATTTGAGAAGTTGCTTCAAACGCCCCTCAATCCGAACTGGAGGGATACATCAAGTTTCTCTTCACCCACCATGCCAACGGCCTTGCACATTGCATCTAACCGTGTGGAATGCGTCCGGATGTTTTTGGAAGCTGGGGCTGACACAGATGCAGCAAATGCAAGCGCTGAAGCAGCTTTGTACTTTGCCGCCGAGTGCGGTCACTGGGAAATTGTACAGATATTGCTCAAAGCTGGAGCTGACAAAGATGCAGCAAATTGAAAGGGGGTAACGGCGTTGTACAGGGCAGCCGAGCGCGGCCACTTCGATGTTGTACGATTGTTGCTCGAGGCTGGAGCTGACAAAGATGCAGCAAATGGAATGGGGGCAGCAGCATTGTGCAGGGCAGCCGAGCGCGGCCACTTCGAAGTTGTGCGATTGTTGCTCGAGGCTGGAGCCGACAAAGATAGGAGAACATCTAGCACACCAAGGTCGACGGGTTTGTCGTTTATTGAAACTGAACATGCAGTTTGGTTTGGCGATTTGGCCGTGCCCCACCGGTTGCTCGCTGGTGCTGACGAAGATGCAGCAGATGCAGATGGTGCAATGGCTTTGCATGTTGCAGCCCAGCACAATCACGTGGAAGTTGTGCGATTGCTGCTTGAAGCTGGAGCTGACAAAGATGCAGAGAACGCCTTTGGGGCAACGGCTTTGAGCATTGCAGCTGAAGAAGGGCACTTGGACGTTTTCCGATTGTTGCAAGAAGCTGGAGCCCAAAGCACACTATTGCAACTTGACAAACTGCTTCCTCCCTTTGTGTGGAGTAGGTTGATCAAGCCTGAAGGTTGTGCTTTCGCCGTTGTTCAAGCTGCGGCGCGCCGCCGTGGTATCTGCAACGCCCGTCCCGCCAAAAAAATGAGTGCTCCGCGCCACTGACGTCAGTGTCAGTGGTAGCGGAGCACTTGGTTGCTTGCACGATGGACCTTCCGACGTCAGCTCCCGGAGCAGCTGCTGAGACGGCTCAGACGGTGGATGAGTTTGCGGCTACCACTGGCGATGCTGAAGCAAGGCCAGATGCTACTAGAGAAAGTGTGCGAGCTCCTTTTCGCCAAGAGTGGTCTGAGGAGGATTGATTGGAGGGAACGGAATCGCTGGTCTTGGGGGTGGCGTGGGTGGTCGAGCACTACGTGGTCGGCCGCTGCTGCTTCCGACAGGCCTCTTGATGGCAACAGTCGTCGACTGTGCGCCCACCAGGTGCTGCTTTGACAGACCGCTGATCCCTGGCGATCTTGGGACTCCTCCTGGCAGTCGTGCCGGGGTGGAGAGAAGTGGACCAAAGGTGACTATACCCAAAGCCGCCATCCTGGCCAGGGTGGCAGCACTATCGCCTTTGGAAGAAAGCAGTGCAGCGCTGGGATCGAAATACTGACGTGGCTGTGTACCGTCGCTCCGAGAAGATTCTCAAGGGCATGGACTGGTCTCATCAAGAGAAGTTTGAACGCACACCTGAACAGAAACTCTCAGGTGTGGACTACCTGCCTGTCGGAAATCCTCTCGATTTTAGACGTGCTTGCTGGAGAGCGTGAAGACAGCGAGACGAGATCGGTCCGAGCCGCTCTGTATGAAGGCAGCCGGCGAGGTGACGAAAGTCTTGCTCAATATGCAGCTCGCCGGGATGCTCAATTCCAGATGGCCGCTCAGCGTTTGCAGCTTCCAGACGAACTGAAAGCCTACATGTTGGAAGACCAGGCGAACCTTTCGATACAGTCTGCGCAGGACCTTGACCGAAGGCAAAGCTGACTACCAGCCACGCAGAAAAGAATCATCAGCTCCTGGAACTTCAATTTCTTTCAAAAATCAACCAGGGTGGCTGGGCCAGGTTTGAGGGCAAACGTCCTGCAGCAGTGCCTCCATGAATCACTCAAGCATGTTAGTTAAAAAATGTAGCAAGTTTAACAATATGTGGGATGCCAGATCACAAAGCCGCGCAAAAGGAAATTAGCGCTACCCGAAATTTTTTGAAGAACGTAGGTAGCAAGCGCGAGAGGACAGCGTGCGCACTGCTCGGCCAGAAGCACGCGCGCGCGCAAAAAGCTGCGTACCATGGAAAAAGGCTTTACGAAAGCCGAGAAACCTGAGAGTTCACCCTTTATCCAACTAAAGCCTCCGAGACCTCTCAAGGACAGTCACGCAGCAGGAAATGATCTTGGGACTTGGCGCCCTGTGGAGTGTCTTGCAGAGGTTCAGTCCTACCTACTCGTTGGCCCGGACAGTTTTGGACCCCTTTTGTTTCAGGCCGCACGCTCGCTCTTCAGCCGCTGCCCACGCTAAGCTGTTCCTCTTCCAGCTCAAACGGAGACCCTTCTGCAGCTGCGCAACTGACAACTAGCCGTCTAACCATTCTGAGCCAAACCCAACAACAGCCGAGAACACTCCTCAGCCACACCTTGATAAGCGTAAGAAGCATTCCGTCCTGCTACTCTCATATGTTTGACACTGAGGTCAGTGGTGCGGAGTGCTCACTTTTCTAGCGGGACGGGCGGTGCAGATACCACGGCGGTACGCCGCAGCTTGAACAACGGCGCAAGCGCAACCTTCAGGCTTGATCAACCTTGGTTCCCACTGGCGTGATGATCGCCTGCTGCTGCGTGTTCATCATGGCGAGAATGGCCTGTTGCTGCATCATCCACGCCTGCGTTTGCTGCTGAGCCATTGAAAGGTTCTGGACTGCCTCCATCACCGGCCCCATCATTTGATTCATCGTTGAGGTGGTGGTCTCCAGCAGCTGATGCGAATGCGTCTCCATGGCCTCCCGCCCGATGCGAATGCCTCTCCATGGCCTCCCGCAGCTCCATCATCGACTGCTCGACGACGGTGTTGGCACTGGCACTGGTAACAGACCGCGCTGCGCTCGCTTCCCTGGAGGAGGTGCTGGAAGATTCGGGCCATAGCGCTGAAAGCGGATCTTGTGACAGCGCTTGACCCAGCGCTTCCACTCTCCGTACTGATTCCGCATCGGCGCAGGGATGTTCGCTGGGCCATAGTGCTGGTACAGAATCTTTCGAGTCATCTGAAACCACCTCTCGGCCGGATACAGTGGAGTGGACCTTTGGCTCTGGCCGGCCTTCGGTCGCGGCATCACCATAACTACCCTTGGGGCTTGAGGCTTCGAGGGAACTGGCACCACTCAATCTCTTGACTGAAAACAGGAAAAATAGACACAATGAAAACACTGTCATCTTCGTGGCAAGTGGGCCTCTGAAAAGAGGAGTCTCTCTCAAGCTGGCGCGTGGTCCAAATGTTTGTGTCCACAAGTGCGCAATCGGCGGTCGACTCTCGGAACGCAACGCGCACCACGAAGATCTCAACGGAAACGTCCTACGACGTGACTCCGACAACTCTAATTCAACTGGTTTAATCTTCTCGTTTCCTTTCTCGTTTCGTTTCACGTGACTGCAGATCCAGTCCAAAGCGCGTCCCTCTCCACCTGTCTGACCTAAAGCCTCCAAAACAAATGTTCGTTCAAGCTCCGAGGATGAAACCGCAGCCATGTATACGCTAGACATTAAAGGCCCCAGCTGGGAGATCAAATGTTTTTCGCTTCATCAGGAGCCGGAAACTGACCACCTTCCCACTGCGCAATGTTCAAAATGCGATGTCCTGATGGCAGTCGGCCCATCTGAGCCTCAGCACCAAAATTCTTGAAAGTGATCTTGCCTGAAAAAACGTCTATGTTCGACCCGGCATGCTCTGAGCAGGCCGATCGACAAAAGATGCGGAGCCTCACCGTCATGACAACCAAACGAACCACCCCCGGTTGCCCTCCTAGAGCGCAAGGACATAGGACTACTTTCACTGCCTTGGCGTTCCCGCCAACTCCACAAGCCGAGGCAGGCTCCTCGTTCAGCTCAATCGTTCGGAGACCGACCTCCTTCTCTTGCAGCGTTTCGAAATGCTTCGTCCCAATCAAGTCCTGCGCCGCGCCAGGATCAATGATGGCATGACCTGCAGGAACCGAGAACAAATTGACAAACGAGCCAAAGAAGGAGCTGAAGGATGATGTGGAACATGAGGCTGGGTCACCAAGGTAGACAAAGGCGTTCATAGCTCCCTTGGAAGCACCACCTTGGTTGGAGACGCCCTCGCCCTTTTCCCGCTCAGCCTTGGATCTATAAGGCCTGATGCGCGCTTCCCGCCAATGACCACGAAGTCCGCAATCGCTGCACCTCGTGATTTTCTGGAAGTCGCCTCTGAGGGGCGATCGCGCCGGCCATCCTTCTTTCTGGCCGCCTTCAACAATTTGTTCTCGCTCCAGGATCTCTTGTGACCAGATTCCCACAAGGCCAAGAAGCTGAATGCTTGATCCTCGTCCAAGTCCTGGGCCTCAATCTCCTCGCACAACTCTCGACGGATCTCATCGTCGTCCAGTCTTGAAACGCGGCCTTTGGTGAGGCGGTCGCGTTGTCCTCACTTCTGTCTCAACCCCAGAAACAGTGAACGTGATCAAAAGACAGAAACAGGGAGGCAGAAACCTTCCAAGTTCTAAGCCTTCTTTTCCTCTTCTTCCTTTAAAGCACCGCCAATGGTGTTTTGAGCGTTTGGAGCTGGCTCAGTTGTATTTTCTCTTCGATATGAGTGGGCCATCCTTGGAAGGGAACAGTTGCGTCAGTATCAGCTCATGCAGTGGCAGAACCTCCAACAGCAGTTTGCCATGCACTGCTGGCTATGCTATGTGTTGTAATGACGCTGACTTGGTATTTTGTAGTTTCTGGTCAGCCTTGTCCTGTCTAACCAAGCCAGTTACCAACCCACTTGTTCAACCAAACCAGTTATCAGTCTCAGCTCTCCGAGCAACCTTGCCGTGGGCCGCGAGAATTAACGAGTTGTTTTGTTCTTGTGGCCTTGACTGGCTCAAGTGGTGCATTTTTGGGTCAATGCGAAGGCAAAGCGCTTGAAGGGAACAGCGCAAATGTATGATAGCGTAACAAAATGTCTTTGTTTTGCAAACGTTCATGGGACAAACCTTCCTTGCAGACAAGATTAGCAGACTTTACAAATCAAGCCAATCATCATACCAATCTTGACCAGCCGGGCCGCTGTTGTGCAGCCAGCTGGTGGGCGACGTTTACGGGATGCTCTGATGAAGGATGGGTCTTGAGATGAAGAATGCAGATGTCCAGGATGTCCTGGCGAAGGAACTTTGACTAGAAAACCATCATGATCCCTGGATGGCATGACACGACTTGGATGCCCAGCATGACGAGAAGGGTCTTTCCGATGTCCGGTGCTTTCGCGCCTCGCAGGGTCGGCCCTGCGATCTCAATGCAGTGGGAACCAAGTTGCCTGGAGACTTGGAGGGCATGGGGCGTGAAACCCGCCGCGAAGCAAAGAACGGTGATGAGGAGAGAACTCAGGAGCTGGGGGTATATCATCGTTTGTAAAGGGAACCAAGATGAGATGAACCAAGATGAACCCAGATGAACCAAGATGAACCCAGATGAGCCAAGGAACCTCACAGAGTTATCTCATTCACTTTTTTATCCTCTCTCCGCACAACTTCCGGCTTGGGAGCGCATTTTTTGTGCCCACCCAGGCTCGTGGAGAAGCCGAAACGGCCTGGGAGCGGGCCGGGCCGGGCGGAAGCGGCGGAACATGGGGAGGCTCCATATCACTTAGGACTTAAGAGATCTCAAGAGGGTTTCTATGTCGGTTTCCATATTCTCTGAAGATTCTTGAATATCCTTAAAGATCCTTAAAGTATGCCTGTTATATATGCATTTCCCGGCATCGTTTGTACCCTCAAATTAGGGCGATCTTTGGATTTCTGTGGAGCCACACGCGGCCAGCAACCCCCCAAACCTCTGAGTGTGCCTTCAGTCCTGGTAGTGGACTTCCTAGTCCTCACAACTGTCGAGTTCGCTATGTCAGGTCAGGAGGAAGTGTATGGAAAATAAGCATTGGTTTCAGGGGAAATCTATAGGACACCCATAGTTTCGGGGGTGAAAACAATGGTTTCCTGCAGATTTTCAACTTAAGCCAATTCGTTGATGTATGGAACCCTTGTTCTATTTATTTGTGCTCTGACGTGTCGATGCACCTGTGAGGACTTTGGCCAGCTCAGCCTCCTTGCCACCCACGAGGTGTGGTAGACGTTTTTGGATAAAGTCCGAAGCTTCCGACATCGTTCGATGCTTTCCTCCTCAGAAGATGGTGCATCAGGTCATGCGGACTGCGCAAGTCAACACGTGCACTTCCGGCCATTTCTTCTTTAGGAGCTCTGCTTCCACCTCTTTTGAGACGACCAGGCCCTTCCACTTTTTTGCGCCGTGGGCCGTGGGCATTTGTGTTTTGAGATCTTACGACGTAGACGGCATGACTCCATCAACAAAGTGTTTGCGTTTTCCACCCTCAGACACCTTCCTACAAAAGAAGATGATAAAAGAATATAAAAGATGCAGCCTCTGATCGTTGAAATACCTCGCCTCCGAGCGCCAGCGGCGCTGGTTGCGGCGCTTTTCGCGGCGCGAGGCAATCGCACTGGTCCACCTTTTCCTCAGCGAGGCCGGATTTTGGGCGCTTCTGGGTGCTTGCAATGACTCATAGCGCCTGCCCGTGGATGTTCCTTTGTCCACAGGGAGTCAGAGTGGCCTTCACCGCAGCCTTCGAGGCGATGTCGTGGGACGAAAGCGCGAAAGCGATTTCGGTTGGGTGGTTTGGAGTCATGAGGACCTTTCGATTGACTGGAGTCCGACACAGACGGTATGATATGTATGATGCACCGATCCACAGACACCATGCAGGAACCCCCCGCGTTTTCTTGATCGAGTGAATAGAGAGAGTTTTTGATCCGTTTTTCACCGAAGCAAGTGGCTCCGAGACCGAGTCGACCTGACATCTGCGATGAAGGTGTTTCTCACCATGGTCCTTGACGTCAATGAACATTGGGACCGGAGAAGCGTGTGTTTGTTTAAAGTATTAGGACGCTATTCGGGGCTCCTGGCATCGCTACTAGGAACAAGGACGCTATCAGGTGGAGGCCATCGCTAGTAGGTTGTGGCACAGCAAGAAGCTACGAGGTGCAACCTCGCGTTTTCGTGGCCACCGCGGGTGGTTGCTGTTGATTGGACTCCATTCAGTTCTGGAACAAGAGAGGTACAGAATGCAGTGTCCGTGCCCCTTGCGTTTTTGCAGGGGATCCATTCGGTTCTGGTACTGGCACCGGTTCTGAGTCAGCTTATTCTTGTCTTCGAAAGTGTGTGAGGAGCTTGGATTCAAACAGCCAAGAACTGGTGGAAGAGCCCTCCGTGAAGGCTCCTCGAGTCGCAGAAACAACTCGATTCCGCAGCGTGTTAAACACGGCGTTCTCCAACATCTCTGAACAGAAGGAGTAGCCGAACATGGCTACCTTATGCTACCTGAAGAGTCAGACAAATTTCTTGAATTTTTCGAGGTGGCCAAAGCGAAGAGGTGCGGGTGTAGAAAAGAGCGAAAGGGAGGTGGAATAACATCAGGGCTTAAAGAGATGTTAAATGACTGGGGAGATTCATTTGGTCATGGCGGAAGTGCTGTCGAAGAATCACTTAGTCGCCTGAAAAGTGCCCGGAGCTTACTTCAGGCACTCGACTTAGCTACGTGTTTCCAAAGATTCTAGCTATATACCCGAAAATGCATCCCCATTATATATTTGATTATATTTGTTCTTATTTCTTTGGACCTCGAACTTCATGGACCTCGGGATTCGATCGTCCTTCATAAGTCCTTCACTTTTTGTTTTTCTTCCTGGGTTGGACCACCGAACCGGTCTGCCCAAAACCGGGTTCACCCAACGCCAGGAGTCCAAGCGGAACGCCCTTGGCGCGCGGCACGCGTTTGCCTCCCCGCAGCGGCACGCTGCCGAAGCTGGAGAGGAGGACGGGAACATGCCAAACGAGGAGTTTTGTATTTTTGTATGGCTTAGTTGGTTAAAAGGGTCTTTGACTGCGGGCGGTCTGGTCACCATCCCCCATATGTTTGATCCTCTTTCGTCGCTTCGTCTCACGGTCCGCCACTGCCGTTTCCTTCGAACGAGGCCTTCGATGCCTGCCACTCTACAGGCGACCGGGTTTCCGAGGTCGGCGAGAGGCCGAGGGGTGAGCAACGGCTCCAAAGGTAGCGGGTCTTTTGACGTGTCCTACTATGACCAGTCAGTTGGTAAAGAAAGTATCACCCAGTATCACTATTTTAGAGGAAAGGCCTGCAACCCAACCATCATCATATAGGAGCTGATCCTTGGCAGATTGTTCTGCCAGCTACTCAGCTACATTCAGCTGCCAGCTACTTGACGCGCGTTCCTGCCGCAGGACTGGCATTTGTTGGATGTTGTGGGCTCTGCATGTAGCGGTGGCCTTGGCGTCCGGCCTCGAAGCGGTCGAGTCCGAAGGTGCTGCCGTTCCTAAGGTTTGGCTTCGCAGGATCGCCGCTTGAGCAGGTGGTGGCCTCAAATGAAACGGCAAGGAATGCCTCGATACGACCATATGCACCTTGGGCCCTTCTTGAATTCCTAGAAAAAGACATGCATGTGCTCAACATTTGCTCGATGTTGATCGCGAACCTATGATTGGATTCTTTGGGTGTTTTTCGGGTGCGGTTGGTGCGGGTGCATTGGATTCTGTAAAGCAGCACTTGTGCCGAGAGTCGCACGAGTTTCTCATGCTTTCTTGTGTCGTGCACATCGTATTTGATAATGATTCTACGTTTGAGAGCTCTTAAACGAAATATAGTTAATGTATAATTATTATATATATATATATAGAGAGCACCAAGGCCCATGGCTTGAATTTCCTTGGGAGCGCAAGACAGCGCACAATTTTGAGCGGTTTTCACGGTGAAGGTCTTGATTCATGACACCTTTGAAGGCACTCACAGAGCCTTAGCTACCTACTCCTTGTTACTATCTAATCTATCTACTTCAGAACGTTTTCTGATGGGCCGCAAGCTAGGGGTAGTTATGTACATCAAGAGATGGCTTTCTGCCCTCATGCCCTGGCGCGAATTCTTTTTTTAATGGGGTTCCCCAAATCGAGGTCGGCAGTTGCACCTGGCCGGCCAGTGGATTTGTGGGGAGCCCATCGGACGTGACCGGACGAAGGAGGTGGAGCCGTGGTGCTGCACCATGAGGCTCCCAGGTGGTGCAGTATTTATTCCCTAGATAAATCTAGGTCCTAGGCACGAAGTGATGGAGATGACAGCAATGTCCGGAGTTTCTTTCCGCGACCAGGTCATGCCTGCAGGACTGACCTTCATGTTTCACGGAAGTGAACTTTCGGGACACGGACGCTACGAAGTGTGCAAGGCGGCAAAGCTTCTTGTCAATGTTAAGGGATGCTCTGCCAGGAGATTCAGGGCCTTCACTGTGGCATTCAGGCATCGAACTCAGCATGATCGGCTGGTTCGAACTAGTATTTAGAGCCTGCGACTGACTTGTCTTTTGGCCTGAGAAAGGCTCTCTGTTTTTGATCTCTTGCAGATTTTGGTGGACGTTGCCCTTCCGCCCTTCCGTCTGATCCATGCCAGGATCCTTTCGGCCAGGCTCGTCAGCGAGAACGGGAGGTTCCGCTGACCTCCTGGTTGCAGGAGCTTCTCAAGTGTCCCACGCACATCTAAGAAGGAAGATAACAAAAGAGCGCTGTGACCCAGCATCATGAGTAGTTCCTGTATTTATTCGCTTCTCCAAAACCTTGAACTAGCAGTCTTGACGATTTCACTGGCAAGAGTGCTTTAAGGTCTCAGGTTTGAGCCTTTACTTTGTCCCACGACGATCACCACTGCTGCTACCACTATCAGTACGACTATTGATGGACGAAGTCTTGCACCGCCGCAAATGCGTGGTACTAACACGTCCAGGTGAACCCTCGCACTCCCTCTTCCAGGTTGTTGCCTGTGAGGTGGTGGAGGCTTCTGGTCTTTCAACTTTTCAGTCCTCATACATTTAAGCCACGCAGTATTGAAGAGGGGACGTGAGGGCACTTTGTATACGGGGCTTTGGGTTTACGCAGAGGATTTTTTCAACAACTGTATGACGACTACGACAGCAATTACATGCTAGCAACAACCACAACAACAACAACAACAACTGCAGCTACTCCTACTCCTACTCCTCCTACCAGTACTACTAGTACTACTAGTACTGGTAGTACCGCAAGTTCTAGTAGTAGTGGTGCTACTACTACTACCACCTACTACTACTACTACTACTACTACTACTACTACTACTACTACTACTAC